ATAATGATAACCAAAACATTAGTCAATGAAATACACAATTGATTTGTCGCGGAAATTATTGATGATTTCCGTAAGGATATAGAGAATTGATAGGAAATTCTCTATTGTTTTAACGGTTAGGAAATAATTACTTACTTTGAGATACTGTGGCAGTGATTAAGTATAACAATATGACTAATGTTGTGTAAAATGAATTCATTTTCGCCTATAATTTGTTTACTAATTTATTAATTAATAATTAATTTTTCAAATTCCATGTAATCATAGGTTTGTTTTTTAAGTGTAAAATTATTTCCTCCAAAATTGGTATCAAATTTCCTGCAAAACAAATAAAATAGAAAAACAACATGAGATTCATTTGGATTGAAATTACGGTAAATGTATTTAATATATAAAGAAGATTAAAATGATCTGTAATTCACCGGAAGTTTGATTTAGTTAAAGAAAGAGCTGCCAAAAGGCAATCAAACAGTTTATGGGCACAGATTCTGGCACTTGTGTTGGAGTTCTTGTTTTGTTAGTTATTATAATTTGCATAACTTTTAGATTAAAAACTTTTTTATGGTTTTACGAGTTCTCTAAATGTCAAACACATAGGGAGGGAGAGATAGGGAGAGAGAACGTGGAGTATATTAGAGATTGAAAGACAAATACAATTTGTTTTGAGAGTCCAATAAAAGGCAATTCAAAAGAAACCCATTTTACGAGTGTTTAGTCTAAGACTATAGAAGACATGTTCTATTGAAACACATTTTTGACAAACATTTTGGTTTCAATTCAAACAAACCATAAAACTCTGTAAAAATGGTTTAAACTCTCAGTTGGCGGTGAAAGGAGAGAGGGATGAGGGGATCGATGGACGGGGAGATGGAGACAGAGGGGGAGATAGGGATGAGGGGACTACAGATGTGAGGGTTAAGGTTAACACAACATGAGCTCAGACCAAATGAGGGGCCATTCAGACCACAATCTGATTTGTCCACACAATTGATGGTGATTTCCGTGTGGACTCTTTGGACTCAACTGTTTTTGTATGGCTTTTCACATAACCATCAATTGAATGTAAAGACTGAGAGATTGTGTGAATGAGTGCCAAAAATATGATTTCAAATTTTGAGTTCAATTCAAACAGACGTTAAAAATAGTCTTTTGATTCGTGACCTAAAGAATTGGGTTTTCGTTTGTTTTTATACACAAAATACAATTTTACGGTATATTTAGACACATTTGCCTTATATATAAAAAATAGGGTGAATTAACACTAAATTAATTTAATACAAAACAAATCAAATATCGTTCAAAAAGCCGATGAAAAATATTTTAAAAATGAACTCAAAAATTAAAAATAATTTCATGACTAATACTTGTGTTAGTAATAGATTTTCTGTGAATTAATTGTTGAATATATGGTATACTATGTATCCTATGATATGCTATGGTATCCAATGAAACGATTCACACATTCCGTGCATTTGATAAGTTTTATACATAATATTTTTCAATGAGAAATAAAGTTTCAATTAAGTCCTTAATATAACTGATTAAAAGCCAAACACAAAGCTGTCATTTATTTGTGTTTATTTACCAATTATTAGATATTTTTTGATTAATTGCTAATAAAATGAATTTAATATCAAATGATAACAAGTGCTAACAAATTGCTGTTTTAATAATAAGCGCTAAAACTATGGAAACTTATTGCATATGAAATATGTATAGGTTTTTCGCAGGTATTTTATACCATGTTATATACAATTATGTCAATTAATTGTTGTAATAAAACTTATAAATATATATTTCACCGAAAAGTGTTATAAAACATCAAACAATTGATTAGGTTTTCAGTGATTTTGCCGGAAATCAAACAAATGTCTTATAATAGGTGTTGTATTGAAGAGAAAATGATGGGAAAAACTTACCAAACATTAAAAACGAGATTCAAATGTGAATGTATTGAATGTATAGGAGTTTTAATGGCTTGCGATTACGGAACAGATGTTTAAAACATCACTGAATTTAATGATAAACACAATAATAATTGGCCAAAAAGTGATGCCAATCGACGCCAATGGGTATTAATAAGCGGATGGAGTGATGAAAATGAATTGAATCCACACTTAAATGAGTAAAATTAACTAAATTGTAGTTCAGATGCCATTTGTTTTGCTACCGATTGGGAGAGAGAAATGTGTGTTAAGAAAAACGGGTGTTATTTGAGGGGTAAATGCAGTGCATCTGAGAGTCAAGTAATGGATATTTACTGCAGATTTTTAAGGCTCACCCAAACAACACACACAACACTTCACAGCCTCTAAAACAGGCCTTACTTTATATGGAGTGAGTCTTCAAACACACAAAACTACCACTAATTTCTCTATTCATTCATTCACTTCAGTCTTTCCCTATCAATGAGAGACTGACTCTGGAGGATGTCTTTCGCACCCATACTTACCATCGCTCACATCAGATGGAGGACCAAACCATCGCATCCAACACCACATCCCTTACATCCCATCCCACTCTCTCTCCCCGTTCTCTCTCTCCTTTCCTTCGCATTTCTCTATGGATTTCAACATTCATTTCAATCATATGTTATGAGAAGGAAATTGTATACAATGTATACCAATAATAACACAGCAATACATGGCATCCAAATGTGACATTTGAAATGTCCAACACTTGATATTTTCACATTAATATCTCATTAATATAGCAATGATTTAGGGATTTAGGACTTTAAAGCCAAGTGTGGAGTAATTGTACCCAAAGTGTACTGAAATGTATTGCAAAATCATTGATAAAAAGGCTATTTATCACTAGTTTTTTGAATGTCATTTTAAAAAGTGGTTTCATTTGGATATTTCACAGATTCTCACATTTATGTTATGAGAAGATATATATTGAATTTCAAACTCAAGCACTTGATTATCGCCAGGACTTTCAAAATGACCGACACGTCTGTCGACTTAAGCGGTAAGTCATCCGCAGGTATTGTGATAATGGTTTTGATTGACCGCATTTAAAGCAATACTTTTGACGATTCACTTACCATTTCTAATGGATAGCAATGCGAAAGCCTTACAGCACTCAACACGACGTCCTTCTAGAGGACGATCTCGAGTCGAAGAATCCGTTCAAACTCTTCCATATCTGGTTCGAAGGCATCAAGAATTGCGGCAAAGTTTACGAACCAAATGCCGTCTGTTTGGCAACGAGTGATATGTAATTGAAAAACACTTATCTTTCTATGAGAATAGATATCACTTTCTTATGAGTGAAGCAAAAAAATTACTATTTATAAGATTTGATACAAATATAAATATAATGAATACAATGTATTGCTTAGAAACGGTCGTCCGTCCGCTCGTATGGTTCTCCTGAAAGCCTATGGAAATGAAGGCTTCACTATATTTACTAACTATGAGAGCCGCAAAGGACAGGAAATGGTGACTAACTCTTGTGATTACATTTACTTCATGTTTATTGACACGCATTTCACTGTTTGAAAAAAGATTGAAAACCCAAAGGCGTCGTTGCTTTTCTATTGGGATGTCTTCAACAGACAGGTCCGCATCGAAGGCACCGTCGAGAAGGTGTCCGAAGCGGAATCCGTCGAATACTACGGCTGCAGACCGCGTGCGAGTCAGATATCGGCACGAATTAGTCAACAAAGTCGTGCCGTCGAGAGTAGGGATAAGATGCTGGAGATCTACAAACAGGAAGAACTCAAATATCCAACACAAGTGCCAAAACCCGACTTTTGGGGCGGTTTTCGTATAATTCCCGACGCATTCGAGTTCTGGTCGGGACAGACAAATAGACTTCACGACAGAATCCGATTCTTTAGAGCCGATTCCGTGGAGAAAGTGGACGGAAAGCTGACTAAACTGGGCGAAGAGGGCTGGGCTTACCAGAGACTTCAACCATAGAGGTGTTCAACTATTCAGGTGTTTGTCTTCCATATACTTTATATTATCGTTGATTGAATGATATGTTTTTGTTAGGAATTGATTTCATTCCAAATAACATTTAAAGAGTCTATTAATTTGTTAGCAAAAAGTCATAAAATATTATTGGCTTTTATTATAATTTTTAAGACAAATAAAATTCTTATATTCCCTTTATTTTTATAACAAATTCTTAATTAAAATGTATTTTTTGTTTCTTTTTATTGTATTTTTGTGTACTTTTTCCTTACGAATAATCGTTGAAGTCTGGGAACATGTATTGCCACTTAATATCACCCGTTTGTGGATTCAATCCGGAGTTGGAGTCGTCGTTAGAGTCGGTGTGGAGTCGAACCGACGTATCGGTGGCCGACTTATTGGTCACTCGCTGTCGGATGCGTTTGATTTGCTTTAGTCTTTGTACCCAATTTGAAACGTGTTGAGTAGTTGTGGCCGAAGGCGTCCCGTTGTATACCATCGATCCCAGCTATAGGTAACACAATGTGTTAGTGTTAGGTAACAGTTCATACATTTGTAATCACAAAATTGCATACATTTGCGTGAAGTGCCAGTTGTCGGACAAATACCGGTAAAGCGTTATCCGAAAGCATTTGCGAATCAAAGTGTTGGATAAGATTTAGGAAATCTGAGAAATAGAAAACACAATTAAAGCTAATCATATAAACAGTCTGTATGTCAATGAATACCATCTTTTGCTTGAATAGTAACCAAATTACTATTGTATTCAAATGGAGTGATGACTACAATCGCTTGAATACACTGTCCGTCGCCCTAATCAACAAAATTATTGCAATTAAAAACCATTGGAAATACATATTGAAGTGGAGAGACGACTCATACCTTAATAGTGGATATGTTGACTGAGGATCCGCTCTCGTTATAGACAACACAGACGGCATCGTTGCCAATGTGTCGCTTCTTGTTATTACAATTAGGATCGGTGTCTGATTTGGTGGGCATAAGAGTTGCCACATGAAAGATCACTTGAATGAGACTGTCCTCCCAGGCGACCGCGTACTTGCCGTCGTGACCGCCCTTCACATCCAGACCTCCAACGTATGACACCTGAGAGTCGGCGTCTTCTAAGCGAATCATTTTTCCCAAACCCCGCAAAAACTTAATGTATCGCAAAGAGCCGAACGGATTCGACAGAATCGCCGTCTTGTCCTTCGCCTGTCCGGCGCCGACGTATAGGACACCGATCTTATGCGTCTCGTATGGCGTGATTCGGTCCAAATTCTTCAGCGACCGATCGATGGCCTCGTTTTTGGGCAGAAGTATTGGTTTGGTTTTCTCATACAAATCCATGTCTTTATTGACACGCATTTCGTGACACTTGTCGTCAAACATAGAGTTGTAATAGAGCTGAAGGAATACAAACTTCGGACACAAACCGCTCGATTTGGGCATTGAATACGAGGAATCGTGATCTTTATTTAGCCGTCTATTGATGTTTGCGTTTACGGGACTCATCACTGATATGGTGTGCACTCTATCTCTGGGTCCGGACATGTTCTCCGCCTCATTGATCCGAATGGGAACCGGTGTTCGGGACTTGTGTTCCGTATGTTCTCGTGAGTGGCGCTGAAGATCATTAGATTCCAAGTCATTGCTGCGAAAGTCGTGTCTCTCAATGAGTCGTTGTCTGTAATCGACTCGACCTTTGCTGCCAAAAGACTGAGCTCTGGTCACCGGTTGTAAAGGACTCGCGCGCGACGCGTGTGTCGGCGGCGACGGCTCTATCGGTCTGAATGTGAGACTCTTTTCGGCGCCATTCGGTTGGCTAAGAGTTAGCGGCGAACTGTTGTTCAACGAGTGTATCGCCGGAGAGGTATTGTTGCTGTCGGTCATCATATAAGGGCTGGAAGTGACTCTCTTGAAGACCGAATCGTTTTCGATTTCGTTCACATCAAAACTGTTACGATTAGAGTCGCATTCGATGGCACCGATCGAGTCCTCCACAGACGGCTCGCGTGTCCTGTTGTTGGGCCTCAAAAGTGCCGTCAAATCGGGCAAATCGTCCGGCGGTGACGACGAATAAGGGATGTTTCCCAACGAGTTCTGGAGCCGAACGATCCACGAACTGACACCAGTGGACCGACGGATCGTAATCTCTGCCCATCCCTGACACCAACAATTGCAAAGAGTGGTCGCATTCTTCGGCAACGAATTGGTTCTCTGTATGGGACGCGTGAGACACGAGTCGTCGAACGCCGAAGACTTTGGTTTGGAAGACTGCGGCCGACGAACCAAACCCATGTCCGACTGGTGTCGGCGTCGGACCAGTTTGTCGCTGTCAGTGGTGTTAACCGATTCCGATCTGTTGTTCTTCAATTCGGACAACTTTTGGAACACATCATTACTGTTGCGTTGAATGTCTTCGTTTGAACTGTTGTCTGAATTATCACTATTTCGACACATATTCAGACATTTATCGCAGAGTCCGTTAGAGACGGCACGAGAGCCGCAACCGCTGGTTGTGATGGTAACCAACTTATGGCCCATAATCCAGGTCTCACTCTTGGATCGGTCGAGAAGTGGCTCAACCATTGGTGACTTCAATGGCACTGTAGAGCACATACCGAACGTATAAGAGGCCAACATATCCATACAGGTCTCGACCAACTCGTGGCGCAACTCCTGGAACTCGTTCTCACAGATGCTGGTAGTGGTGGTCAGCGGTTGCGGTGAGTGTTGGTTGTGTTGGGCTATAGCGTCACTGCTAAAGGAAAATGAAAAGTGTGAATGCGATGAGTGGGGCGTTGAGGGCAGAGGGGGTGGCGATGACTGCAACGACAGACGCGCCTCCAATCTTCACCATTTGGATTGTATTTGTATTGCATTTCGGGTTTTGGTTATAAAAGTTTACAAAAACAAAAATAAAGGGATGGAAAGGGAAAAAGAGAAAAACAAATAAATATTAAAAACTACTTCTAATAAATAAACAAATTAAACACAAAATAATAATAACAATAATAATAATAGTAATGAATGACTAGAAGTTGTGCTAACTTTTTATGGGCTAATGATTGGTCGGTATTCAAAGAACTGCTTCTCAAACGTTGTGCGTCTATGTATTGGTTCGGATGCGGATTCATCTCATCCGACATTACATTCGTTTGTAATCCCTTTTAAAGTAAAAATACAATTCAATTGTAAATTGTAAATTCAATTCAAATGACAGACTATTGAGACATACTTTGATAATAAAGGGAACAATTGATTTACGACATGGAAGTCGACATTTAAGAAACCACATTGCGATCACTCTATGGGCTAACGCAACCGTGTAATCGTTAAATCTATTCAATTCAATGTACAAAATAATTAGTTTAATAGTACGGCAAATGAACGAACACTTACTTAAAAGGGTTAGTATAGGGGAGGGCTATTGCAAAGACACTCATGTACTGATCCATTGTGAAACTCTGGTACAGATGTGATAGAAGTATAACGTCTGCGATAAAAGTAAAACACTTGTGTTATGCAAATGAAGTGAAATTAGTTAAATTAATTGCTTGAAAAAGTAATTACTGGACAAGAACTCCAATTTGGGTATAGAGAGGGGAACTGTTGCCGATATCTTAGAAAGACTTAATAGTGTGTCCGGCAAACACTTGGTCATCGCTTCTTGCATTTCGACCGCACATATAGTTAGCGACAGAATGTTTTGCCGTAAAACACTTGTCCGTCCGGACACTAAAACCAACCCGTTTTGTAAATATTTGATTATTGAACACTGTTTTGAAATAAATTAAACGATTAGTCAATAGTTAACAAACATAAACTCAAACACTATTACTTGTTGTCTGAATTCAAGTTCGCTTTGATAGCCAACGAGGGCTGAGAGACAGGGATAGACCGTTGACTGAAACTCCGCTTTCGATAGGTTTTGGCCTTTCGATTGAAATTCATTCAATTTGGTCGACGTATCGCTAATCTATGGATTCAATCAAAATTACAAGACATTAAAGAGCTGTCAAATGGCTAAAAGTAATGCCATAATGAAAACATACGAGATAGCAGAGAGCGGTACACAAATCAGTGGCGATGTGTGCACTTCCCGATAGAATAATGGCTTTGTTTTTAAGAAATTTTGGCAAAGCTTTGAGAACAAGGCTTAAAACAGTCCAATCTTTTTCAGTCTTTAAACAGATGGCGAGTACTCTAAACATATCATTGAAGGAAAGAGTCCACAAATTGTTTGCGTTTGTATTGACTGAATGAAGTATAGGACTCGGCGGCGGAGATAACGGATTGGAGGTCTGTGTTGTGGCGCTTACGACTGGAGAGGCGGCTGTACTAGCGTTGGGACTCAATTCATTGCGCTCGCAGACAATGAATAGGCTATACTTTGGAGTATTATCTGATTTTGAGGGATTGATTCGCTGATAGACACCGATTTGTCCCTTAGAGTTGGCCCTAATGTTCAACAGGAGATCGAATATCTGTCCAAATAAGTCAAATGTCATTAGTTTTGTAATTAGTAAAAACTTTTGCACCAAAAGTCACCTCTTGTTTGACGATTGAACCAATTTGTCCGAGATTTGAATTATAGTCGGCGTTCGAGTAATGAGCCGACAATTGACTTAATATTATTTTAAACGTTTGAATGGCTGCAGAGCCCGGAAACGAGAACAGCTTTGTCTTAAACAACGAGATGAGTCCCCGAATGGCTATCTTTATGTCCTTCCCTTCAGCATCACTCGGACTGCCAGTTGTGTTGCCAGCGATCGCGTGACTCGAATCAAACAATCGTTTGCACACCTATTCAATAGTTATGACAAATTCAAATTCAATGAAACAATTGTTGATAATATGAGTGAATACTGACTCTATCGAGAATCTCAAGTATTTCAGCACATCGTTTGGCACTATTGCTGTCGGACACCAAATCCACCAGAAACTGGACTCCTCTCACACGACACTCAACATCCAAATCGTTTTCGATATGATTTAAATACGGAATTATTATTGTCTCCAAAAGAATCTCCTATTAGAGTATATATAATACATTGTAATATTCATTTTACACGTTTCAATATTCTTTGCGTATAAAATATTGTAGAATATAATTGATAGAATATTTGGTGCTTTTATAATAAGACATTTGTGTACGAATAATGCATTTCCTACTATATTTTAATTGCAATTGTATTAAAATGTGGTTTATCAGTGACCATCACAAGGATAGACAACTTGTATGAACTCTGTGTTTGGCCTCTTATAACTGTATTGTGAATGCATTTAAAATGCATTTGTTTTATTCAATATTGAGTTTACAATTTGGACAAAATAAGAAACTAAAAGCATATGAATAAAGCATTTAATGCTGTGATCGACAAAACAGTGTTGAATACAAACATTTGCAATAATATACGTGAGGGTAAACACGAGAACAAGCTTTTAGTCAATAATCAGTATATTTCATAACATTAGAGCCCAGATCTTGACGTATGGGAGAAAGTCATACACTTATTGAATGTGTGCTCAAGAATTGAACCAAAAATAGGGAATTATATAATGAATAAAAATTGCAATTTATTGGTTGCAAACACATTGGGATTAAATGGACTGAATCTAAGCCAACATTCAATCGGTTGTTATCAAGACGTGAGAGAATGTATTAGAAAATAGATTTCTGGCAATAAATCACTACATATTTTGTGTAATAATAAACTTTAAAAATGTCAATTATTTACAAATGAAATGTATTTCTAAACTAATTCTCAATTCAAAGCATAATATTTATATTAACGACAAATCTCTATGAGATAAACAAATGTCTGACAAAATTGAAAAGAAAACTCAAAGATAGTTAAGGATTACGTGAAAAATAAGGCATTAAAAGCTATCAACTGTTAAAATGAAATATCATTTTATTATTTAGCGAAATATAATACAAAGTAAATATGTTTATGAATTGAAAGCGCTTATCAAATATACAGCATATAAGCAGTTAATAACTTCTCTAATGTCTATATTTTTGAAGACTCTGTCGACAGGAATAAAGAAAAACGAAACAAAATTCTGGCAAAACTTTTTCTTGCATTTGATTTCTTAGATAAACATTATTGCATTAAATTGCGATAAACCCTTAAATAACACATACATTGCATTTAATTTCACTTTTCCTTTTAAATAATTATAAGATTTAGGAATTTAAACAAATTTAAGCAAAAAATATATGCGTTTTTTGAAACTAAAAACAAAATGAATGTAAAATATTTACCAATTATTACAAAATAAATAGTAAAATAAAACCTCATTTACTGTCACTGTTTATGAGGTTTTGTTTTTAATAAAAACCATTATTTTACACAAAAAATTATTTATAGAAATACAGAACAGCGAAAACACATGTTATTATCGCAAAAATCTAAAGTAAATAATTTGCATAAAAGCAAAAGAAATATATTTTTAAAATGCAATGTCTAATGAACTCAATACTACCGTAACGAACAGATAACACACATAATAATAACTCATAAAAACTCATTTTCTCTCCAAAAATACCCCCAATTATAATCTGTACCAAAAGGTATAACACATATAACTATATCTTAACTTTACATCCATTAATCTAATGTTTATTACAATTGGAAATGAAAGCTATTGTTATAAACGGAGAGAAAAAACCCAAAACTCGTAATGAAATGATCGCTAACCTCATGGATATACCGGTATTGTCGCATAAATTCGCTCAATATATTCAACGCCTCGATGCGAATGAACGTCCGCTTCTCTCCCTTATAATAAATATCCATTAAATGTTTCAACGATTCAATCCAATTGTCTTTATCCGCAGTGATTGACTGAACCCTGTATTGAATCACACGTTTTCCCGACTGTTCCTAAACAACACAACCCAAATGTCAGACACAAATACATCAGTCATTGAAACCTATGCTAAACGATAGTCTAAAATGCAAAACACAAACAAACAAAAAACACTTACGGATCGATGCGGTGAACACTTTTCCAAAATGTCAAACAATTTGTTTGAATCGCCAAAAAATTGCTTCTTCTCGTTCAGCTCTTCCACCACATCAAGCAATCGATGAAATGTTTGGCTCAACTCGTGGCCCGATTGTTGGCCCGTAATCTCGTAATTCGACACAATGTTGTCCATGATTTCTAGCATCAGATCCCACGTCACTTCGCTTTCAATGTGCTTCTGGCTGTCGACCAATGCGATCAACGCGACAGACATCTCGAGAGCTACCGATTGGTGTTTGCACTGAAGGGCACTCTTAAAGGCCGGAAGTATTGAGTTTGGGCTGTGTTTGAGGTTCTCGATACGGATCGGATCCCATAGGGAACGGGTGACGAAATGCACGGCTCCTCTCATTAGAGACGTGTCCTCATAATTGGTCTCATCATTCAATATATACCTCAAAGTCTCGATACATGAATGGCCCAAATGTGAAGACAATATGTTTCGCATGATATCCACGCATAACGCGTTAAACGATGTATTGTTTACTCCTTTACACAAAACGATCACAAATTGTGTCAAACATATCGTCGGAAGCATTGATTTGACGAGAATCGCGTCCATTATGTGATAGATAGCTATTGACGTCTCCTCATTGGTGGTCACTCTTGCCATTAGATGACAGATCCTATTGATAATGTCTGCCATTATCTTCTGATCCAAATATACTGAATTGAATTTTATTAAATTCACTATAAATGTGAGAAATTCTGCAGAGGTTTTGGGATTTGCGGTCATTTTGTCGAAGCATTGGATGACAAACCGACCGATTTTCGTCTCAAAGCTCTCGTGATTCTTGCCGTTGTTTGTCATCGCAATCAATACATCCATTCTTAAGGGTATGTCTTCATCGCCTTTGTCTTTATTTGCGACCAAATCCCATAACAATGGTCTCAACTCTTTGAGTTTGTCGTACTGTCCGGCGACCAAATGCTTGTAAAATTTCCATACAGTGTGGCGAACGTCCGGCGGCTGGTTATCGTCTAACAGATCCATTGTTTCGTTGATAATACACTTGACAGCGTAGTCGACGAGTCGCTTATAGCGGACCTCTTCCTCCAAGTCTCTGATGGTCTTCATTCTGTCGGCGATGTTTGCTTTGCGACACAAACCAAACTTCTGTTCGTTCGTCAACTGGTACTCGATCTGCTCTTCGTGTATGTGTCTCATGTCGTGTCCACCGCTTCCGCTGCTGTGTTGAAGCGGACAACCATTTTGGTGGTCCTGTTGTTGACAATGAGCGCCGCCGCAGACACTCGCCACAGACGGGTTGGACGTCGACTTCAAGCCCAAGAACTTAATGATTCGGTCGCCGACTCCTCCCGACGACATGTCCGGCCAGTGGTTGGTGTCTCAGCGGCACCAGTCGTGTGACAACCAATGGGTGGCCAACTCTTCGCCCGACACATACACCACAGCGACGACAACCCAATCGGTGGCAACGCTTCGCTCGACTCACAAATGGACGACAGAATAGGTGTTCAATATTAGGCCACAACTGAACTGACGGTTAATTCACACCAAGAAATGGATTCAATGTATTGAATGGCTTTCGCAGCGATTGTATTACAACTCATTTGATTATTATTACAACTATTAAGCACTCAATTGAATGCAATTAGCGATCAATTAGTGAACCATTTTTTAGTGTCATTTCGTTATAACAAAAACAACAATAAATACTATGAAAAACTAAAACACATTTCGTTTTGCCATTGAATGCAAAATATAACTCATTATTCAATACACGACACAAAATGACACAAATATTGAAAAATCAAAAAACAATTATATAATCAAAAAATAACTATAAATTCAAACAACAAAACAAAATAATAATAATGTGTTAATCAATGGCTAAGCATTGCATGGATTGGTATAATGGGTTCAAACGGATGGACACACGAAGAATGGCGTGTATTGTGTGGTGAGGTGTGTGTTGTCTCGACGTTGGGATCAATTGAATGCAATGACAATCAACTAAATGGATGACAATTTAGTGGTTTAGTCAATGCAATCGATATATAAGTAATGCATTACTAATGCATTCAATTCTCACTCATTTCAGTGCTCTCTGTGTTCAGTGCTGTCGATGTCTCACAACATTCAATGCATTCAATGCTAGACTCAGGCATCAAATCAGCTGTGAATTCATTTCACGTCAACTCCGAGTCTCGACAACGAGAACACAAATGATGTTCACTAATAATGAATACAACTTTTTATACACACATTATTTAAAATAAGTTAAATTATTTTTAATTCAATTCTCATTTCAATCAATGATAAGGATTTAGTGTTCAATTGTGTTGCGGACCACAACTTGTGGTTATAATTACAATTCAAACACAAAATGCTTAAATGATTGACTGAATTTGTGAACTAGTTTTATAAGTTTTAAGTTACAGTTAACTTTTGCTAACAAAACCATACAAAAGTGTTCTAGCTGGTTTGAACAATCGACAATTCAGTTCCCAACTGAAACTAAAAGTTTTTAAAAATTGTTATTTTATTTAACGTCTAATAAGCGAGTGATTTGTCTAATCATACGAATAGGTAATAATTCAATACATTTTATACATTGAATGTGTTTTCTGAATACAATCCTTAAAACAGACCAATTGGCCGATCGGTGGCCACACTCTCCACCCAAAAGTGGCTCGAGTTTGGCTCAAGTGTTGAGAATAATGTATGAAAAAGTTTTTTATGTTATTTTCAAATTAAATTCTTTACATAATTATATTTGTGTCAATCACTCTCTCATTAGATAATTACATTAAAAGCATCCAAACATACAAAACAATATTCACTTAACTATACTTTACTCTAATTAACGCCGTGTTTGACACTTACATGACAGCAAAAAACAAACTAAATTCAATGTTAAATAAACTAAACTTCAGTAAAACACATCGTTTTGACAACAATTTATGTGCAAAACAATAAGTAGTTATAAAAGTTAATTCAAATCCTATAATAGACTTGTTTTGTGGAAAATCACGAATCGATTCCATAACTAATTCTTTAAACAATTTGCTATTCTTAAGGAGTGATCACTTCTATTGGATTCAATCAATTAAAACAATGGTTTATTATCTTTTGAATATCTTTTATATAAGTGGTGGAAAAAAGAAAATGCGATTTTATAGTGTGAACGTAAATTAATTATTTCTCAAGTAAATGGTGTGATCAGTTTATAGATTATATTCTCATGTAAAAATATAATAATGTAAAATCATTTTACTATAAAGAAAAATTTTGTAGCATTTTCCATTAATGACCAGCAAATCGCCGAACATGACCTATTTTCGACATTAATTTTGTAGAAATTTAATAATATTGTATTTTACAAAACTGTTCCCGGAAAAATCAAAACTATATATGATGAAAATTGTTTAAATGAGTATCAATGATTGTGATAGTTAAAAATTCTTAGAGACTATGAACATAGCAGTAATACCCAGCCAACGCTGGCCACCCGTCGGTAGTGGTCAAACTGATATGGTAGACCGATGTTTAAAATATGAGGCTAAAATATGTTTATACAGTGGAGATGCGGGAAACAAACAATTTAGGATAATCTACAAATGACCGAGAATAGGTTCAGGACACGAAAATTGGTTTTTGGACGATTTCAGTACCGAAAAAGACCTACCAAAAAATGCGTTAAAAAAATTAACCAACTAATACTTTTTAAATACTGGGGATATGAATTCTATACCAACACTGACTTATACCCCGATATACCCCCTTCCGATTCCCACCGACTCCTATCACTTCTGTTGTCTGTTAGAGGAATAGCATTAAAAGTTGCAGAGGTCCTCAAATCGAGGCTGTTTTAGTTTATTGCCTAAAAATCAAGTGAATTCATTGAATAGAAAATTCAAAATTTGGTGATATAATAAGTGATAGCTGATGATTATTATGACAATTGAAACTTTGCTTAAAGTTAAGTACTTTAAGTATAAAACAATTTTTAGTTTCACGCCAATAAGCGCATTTTCTTTTTTCCATGACTTATACATGTATTAGACATCTATTGTATGATTAAATATTGTTTAACAAAGTTTTATATACTTATTTATTGGTTTATATATCGGTATTAATGTTAAATAATGTTTACATTAATTATTATAAATTAAATGTCATTTTATTTACAATGAGTTTGTATTAGAAAAAGATTACAAATGTCTTTAATTAACAATTTAATGAACAAATTAATAGTAATTTAGAAAAATAAATGAGAGTTTAATTGAAATAAATGTCGGAATGAATGGTGAGATTGAATGCGAAGATTGTCTGCACTTTTGTTTTGTCACTCATTTGTGTCCAAAGTGTCGACGAATTCGTAAAAGTGTTTCATTCGAAGGCAGAGCTCTTTGGCATCGGATCCACACTTTGTCTTCGCTTCGACCGCGCGTTCAATCATTTGATCCAATCGTTGAGTGATTCCCGACTCGAAGTCTGAAGATTGACGCAAATATTGGACGCATTCGTCGATCAATTGCTGCAACTCTTGGACGCAGCCGTCGATTGTCTCCTCACCGCCGATGCCGTCCTTGTCTTCGGCGGCCATCACTTCCCGATCGCCGTCTCCGCACTCATTGACGCACTCTTTGTCATCCATAGTGTTGTCGTCGTTGTTGTGATGGCTTTGGGAAGCGTTGGAAGCGATGTCTTCGTTGAGACAATCGTTTGAATGCATCGATAGTTTGATTTCAAAACTCAATTCAAACCCAAAAACAAAAGCAATGAATGAATGAATGATTGAATGAATCGTATGTTTCGAACACTCGTTGCGTCACAACTGAAGCCAAACGTCACGTGAAGTGAACCCCAAAAGCGATCTCTCATTCCATTCACGCATTCATTCAAAACCGAACTCAAAGTCAAACTTAATATCGAATTCAAGTCCAACTCATTTGGAATCTAATGTCGAACTCAATGTCGAACTCAATGTCGAACTCAGTATCGAATGTAATGCTTGACAAGTGTTTGACCGAAGGGTCAGAACCGGAGAGCGAAGTGTTGGGCAAAAGTGGGGATCGATTTGTGACCCAATTGTCGGACAAGAGATCGAAAGACAAGCAATGGTTACGAGGAGTGGAGACACGGGTTCGCCGAACCATCGATTCGTTGGTCAAAACGTTTGTCACAACTCTTGACCGAAATTATGTCGAAGAGAGCGAAATGAAGGCTCGACTCAAACGCTTGGAGACAACCGTTGAGGACATCGCAGTCATTGAACAACACATCCAATCAATCGCTCAACACATCCAACAATATCTTCCGCCCAAACCATAGATCACTCAAAGACTATCTCTCAATACATCACTCATTTGATCCATTCATTCAATTTAATGTCTTTTAAACTTAATTTCATTGTTTTTCCTCTGATTTTCTTCGTGTAAATGATTATTACTTTTCAATACTTTTATCATAAGTTTTTTGTTTAATTGTTTTGTTAAATATGAAGTTTTTTAGTGAACACTCGCTATAGTGTACTAAATATGTCATAAAGTTTTTTTATTAAAATTCATAAACATTTCAATTAAAATAAAATTATTAATTTTGTGACGGTTCTTGTGTTGATGAGTGGTGTTCAGAGAGGGCGCGCGTGTAGTTATAAATGTTTCGGATTTCGAATAGCGATATCTCGAAAACTATACCTTCGATTTCGGTCAAAAGTTGTTAATCGAAAGGTAATGATGAGTCGAACAGCTGATGTGAAGGAAAACTTGGGGATATTGTCTGGAGCTGATCCAGTGGACAAAGAGTTTGTCAATTGGATATGAATGGGTAGACTTTCGGGAAGCGATAGCTTGAAAACTATAGTTTTGATTTTGCCCGAAAGTGGTTCAATCGAAAGCTATTGATGAGAGGAAGAGATGGTGCAAAGGAAAAGTTCAGGACTATCACCGGAGCTGATCCAGTGAGCGAAGAGTTTGGACGATTGAGGGTTGTTATGGGTAGAGGTGTGTGCGCGCGGAGTGCTGTGTTGTTGGTGTAAACACCTATTGACGAACCGTACGGAACGGTAGTTTGAGACCTGATCTTCGGGTGGCGATCGGGTCTACCGTCGATGTGGTTATCGGGTGAAGAGGTATGTATGTACTTGACAAAGACTTACTGTATATATATAGCACTATCGGGTGAGAACACCTGTTAGGCCAACAAAAGTTGGTCGCCTCGGCATATCGGGGCTCTGGCTGAGGCCCGCGTTTTGCATAGTTGAGGTATGCATACATACATATACCTACACATATGCATATCTCATACCAATATGACCATAATCATAATTATCGTTACATTGTTTATAAATGTTTTTGTAA